ACTAATTATTATTAAAATGTTTACATAATCCCCCATTCACAACCAAACAATACCCCATATGATTGTAAAATTCATGCCTCACAATACAGAGCTGTTAAGGGGAGAATCTTTAGCATTCCACAGAGATATCGTTTTCAGATCATCTAAATTTCTGTATTTAATATGCCCATAAAGATGGTTTTTGAGTATGCTACACAGGAAGAAGTCATTCGGCGAAAGGTCCTGTGGACTGTGGTCTTTGCTTACAATAGCCATTCTCCCCAATAGACAGTCAACGTTTTTCTTTTCTTCAACGTGAAGAATATTCAAGTCATTTTCGTTTTCCTTCTGTTCAATTATTTTTGTCTTCACAATTCCATGTGCTTTTAGCTGTGCTTTTAGTTTTAAACACAGAAGAAGGATTCAAACCTCTGGTTTATTCTTTAAACTGTTAACTTATTCGGTATAGGCTTTCCGGAGACTGAGCTGCGAACATATCTAACACAGCGGGAATACTATTTCTAGCAAAATGTCGTGTAACCATCGTATCTTTTTCAGAAGTTGCGAAAACCACAATTATTTTATACAAAATTATTATTTGTTACCTTCAATTTTTTGTAAAGAAAATGTGATATCAAATTTGACAATGACAAAATCATATTTTTGCTGGTATTTTAATTGTAGCGTTCTCTGGGCCGTATTTAAATTTTACTAATTTGGAGGTAGATTTTTACACTAACTTTTAAATGACTATTCCAAATGAAACGAAATTCTACACAAAAGTACAACTTTACCGCCTCTTTAAGAAAGTCTAATACAACTTTTGCATAAAATCATCTGGGGAGATAATATTTTACCTTTTCAAAATTAGCATGGGATTTCCTGTCCCGTGTTCCGATGCACCACACGGTATATCCTCTTACAATTAGACAGAAGTGATAATAAGGTCATCATCATCATTTTATTCCGTCCACTGCTGAACAAAAGCCTCCCTTGACTCTAGCCATTTCTTTCTATTTTGTGCTACTTGAATTCAGTTTTCAGCCACTCCCTTAATATCATCTGTCCATCGACTAGGAGGTCGTTCTCTGCTTTTTTAGGCCTCGTGTCTTGGTCTCCATTCCACAAGTCTCTTTGTCCACCGTCCATCTGTTATCCTAACAACATGGACTATTCCATTTTCCGATGCATGACCTGTATTCTATGTATGTTCTTTTTTGTCAAAGTAAGTGTTTCAGCTCCATGAGCCGCAGTGAGGACAGGCAAGACACACGCTAAAGACCTTTCTTCTTAAACATATTGAAATATCAGATCTCAGTATATGCCTTAGTTTACCGAATGCCGCCCACGACAAACCTATTCTTCGTAGAATTTCGTGAAACACACACTAATGTAGCTACAACGACTCTCAAAGACGTTAGTGTATTAAACAGATTTTATTTTAAACAGGAAGCGATCACCGCATTGTAAGAGCCGAGGTAAAAATAAATATAAAGAAGGAAAGAACTAACATGATACTCAAGAAAAACTACAAGAAATGGGTAGCTCCTAAAAACAAAGATTTTTATAAGGAATGTATAGCCCCAAATCTAAATTATTAAAATACTACTACGATAGACGAAATATACGAAAACATCAAAGGCGCCAGTCAAACGGCTATCGAAAAATTCTGTCCCAAAAAAGTAAAAGAACAAAAACTGAATCAAAGCTAATAAGGTATACCCGACAAAACAGATATTCAAGTCTCTAGTAGCTTTAAGTTTGTTTGCACTTGGGAAGCAGAACGGGTCTAGTCCAGATAGTGGAGTGTTCTCTCCTTTTCTAGCAAGATCATTAGCTTTTTCATTTTTCAGGTACCTTCTATCCCTTGGTGGGGTGACAGCCAGAGTACGAACACTTAATTTATTTTGCCTAATTTTTTCAGCTTTTCTAGGCGTTGTCTGACCACCTTCGAATTGATGGTTACTGAGTTGATCGCTCGTAAGGGCTTATTTAGTCTAAAGTTCAAACATTGTCTTTTGCTTCAAACTTTACCTTGCAAAGAACGTATCTATCTGATGCACACACGATCTAAGATATTCAACGGGTTTACCTCGAAATAATATATACACTGCCCTCAATTTGCCGCCGCACTATAAATCCGCGATTGTTCGTTATTCGATCTCGATTCCGCGCAGATCTCGCGGACCCGAAGACGGCCGTTTTCGCGAATTTCCTATTTAATATCTCTTTGATATTAAGCGATTTTATGACCCCGGCGCGTAATACACGGACGGCTACGGCCTTTAAAACGGTTTACGATTTTATTAAGAGCCGGATTCGTGGCCGTGTAATAAAATGGTTTATGCACTCTCAAAACTATGATGGCCTACACTGCCCGACATAAGTTGGGTGGTATATAAATAGCGTCATTTCGAGGTTTAAATTCATGTTAGAAGAAACGAAAATTTTACTGCTCCTTATCACGAGGCAGTTCAGGTTACAAGATTTTAGTTTTTTTTATGAATATTCTTTGACAGTTCATAGCTGATAACTGGCAAACATTTACGGCATATCTGATAAGCAAAGAGGAAGAAGAACTTTCTCAGGACTTACGACCGAGAAAAATCAAAGATATTCTTTGACTTAAATAAGAACAATCTTCGGATTGTCAGCGGGTTTTTAACAGGATATTGTCTCCTCTATGAACACCTCGGTCTAAAAGTTTAAAAATTTAAATTTTTAAAAATTCGCGAAAAAAAACTGAAATAAAAGAAAAAACACACTTTTCATTTAGTACAAATCATAATTACATAAATAACTCTGTCGGTGTAGAAGGAAAATAACCCCCTCCCCCCCCTAAAATATTTGTATTTATTTAAGACTCACCCTGTATAAACAATTTTCATATGTTTTAATTCTTAAAAAATTCCTTGTTCTAAAATGGTTAATCCCTTTTATACTTTTCGAAATTTCCATACCATTTTAGAGGAAATTAAAAAAAAACATGAAAACATAGTGATGATTTTATGCAAAAATGATGATTTTATGCTAAAATTGTATAAGACTTTTTTGAATAGGCGTAAGTACTGTCGTTCAGAATTTCGTTTTATTTGGAATAGGCATCTAAAAGTTATTTGCAAAAATATAATTTTGTCATTGTCAATTTCGATATGATATATGATATAAAATGTGATGAAGATGAGAATTCGATATGATAAAAATGATGAAGTCAAAAGGTGTTTCTATGGTAATATAATTTCGATTTGATTCTTTGGCAGATTATTATTATTAGAATTTTAATTGAAGTCATTATCACCATTTCTACGGAAAGGGTGATAAAGGTAATGGAGAAATGGAAATTAATAATAACCATCTATATATAAGTCAATGTCTGTCAAATGTCAACAATAAAAAAGTTTTTCCTCTTGTAAACACAATTCGGGGACATACTGTAGATTCAGATATACTTTAAAATGAATTTACTTCTTCGATAGTCGAAGAACTAACAACATAAATCTAGATAAAGAAGAGATTAATTGTCTTATATGTAACTATGTTAAAATCTTCTGGTTCTACATCATTATATAACTGTCATTCGGTAGCAATTATTATTGACAAATTGCACTTTATCTGATGCATCTTATGTATGTCAACAATTAAATAGACTTTCTATTTTAACTTGTCCTCAAATGCTTAAAGAATGCTCTACTTGCAGATTTGTCTCTATTTCCAGAAAATTTATGAAATAAAAAAGTAAAATTATTTCTTTTTTTTTTGGAGATATGTAGGAGAAAAACTTTAATCAATATAAGACAGAGATAGTAATTATTATATTCAAATAGTAGGTATTAAAACAAAACAGCTAAAAATTAAAAAAAAAATCAAAATGTAATCTTTATATAGTCCTAAAAAGTTGTTTTTTCTTTTAGACAAAATGGAAAGAGGGACCACATAGTGGAATATTATACAGGCTGTCCCAGAAATAAGTACAAGTATTTTAAGGGGTGGTAGATCTCGATAAATGAAACATATTTTCACTTTATCGTTTCAAAAATAAATCGTCAAATAAGTCCAAAATAACTGAATTATTTTACTTTGAAAATTTCAAAAAAAAATTTGATTTTTGTGTTAAAATTTTGTGCTAAAATTTTGAGAACCACTGGATCTTTTCTGGATTTTCTTTCTTGTAAATTTAATGTACTACCTATGTTGCCATATTATCAAGAAATTATGTTTTTTTAACTAAAAACTAAAAAAAATTCCAATTTTTGTTTCAAAAAATCCGAATTTTCAAAAAAAAAAATTTCGCGGAAAAAACCTCATAGGCGTGTTTCTAGGGTTGAATTATACTACCAGTTGAAATACTTGCACTTATTTCTGGGACACCCTGCATAGAGAGCTTCAGAGGGCCCGAATTCTGGAACTTCGACATAAAAACGTTACGCTTTCAAAGCGGTAAGCGAAAGTATTCGATTAGCGGAACGCCAAGCAATCGATTTTGGCACATATTGACAGCATCGCAATTTGATCGCAATTTCTCAGGTATCTAATAGTCAAATGTAGATAAAACAATGAAAAATGTCAATGTTACGTAAATTTCATAACCTATTGTTTTGAACAATATTTACAGCTGCCAAGTCGTAAATTATCAATTACATATTGAGGAATTTATAGAAGAACACTGTAAAAAAAAATGAGTGAAATTTCACTCAGATTTCACTCAATACTTTCTCAATTTCTGTCCACACCCGATTGAGTGAAATTTCCACTCTACAGAACCGAGTGAATCTTCAATTCTCAGAGTGAAAAGCACTGAGTGTTTTCACTCAATCGAGATTAGACGAAAGACTCCTTTTTTACTCATTAGTTAAATGCGCGCTGTGCGAGAATTAACGTCATATAGGCTGAGCTTCTAAAAGCGCTCATAGCGTTTTCTAAATTACAGAATTCTGGCTCAGAACCGATCTGCTTCCTAAAAAAATTCTCAGAACTTACGACGGAGAAAAATCTTCATTTCTTTTTTTTTGTGTTTTTTACAGGTCGTTGTCTCCTTAATGAATACTCTAGATTGAAGCTAAGAAACTGTGGGTTAAGCTAAACGCACACTGGTGCGATCACTGCCGCGATCACGATCACGATCAGGGCAGCGATAACATGAGCGATCATTCTAGCACACACCAACGCGTTCACGTTCACCGCCGTACCTATATGTAGTGCGCCATCCTGTAGGTATACATAGGTACAAATTAAAAATGTGAATTATGTATACCGAAAAAAAACATTCTTAAATATTTACCTACAATATTTAAACTTAAACAATAAAAATGTATACATATGTACTATCCAATTCAATTGCAACTCCAATTTTGTCTCAAACTTTTTATTTTTAATTCTATTATTTTTATAACTTGGATCGGATAAATCATATAGAATTTCGTGTATTTTTACAGCCTTAATTAGCTGCTCTGTTAACTCCATTTCTAAATTACAACAAGAAAAAACAAATAAAATAACGCAAAAATCAGTTGGGTCGTCACACGTCACACGTTGAGTTTGATCGCCACCACAGAATAGAACGCCGCCAAGCCGTTTCGTCTCCAAAACTCGATCGCGCCAATGTGAAACGGCTCATATATGTATTCTTCAGCAACTTTTGGCTCCGGCCCATGGTGGGGTATTAGCATGAAAAAGGTGATCGAAATTCGAAAAAGCAAATGTGTTTAAGATTTCCCAAAAAAAGATAAATGATAAGTTAAATCATCTCTGCCATGAATGGCGTTGCTATGGGTGTGTTTAGTTGCATTCATTTGTTTCAACGAAACGTCAAAGTTGTTACTTCTCCCAGATAAGAGGTAAATAGCTAAATTTTATTTTAAAATTATAAATTGTTGTTGTTCTTGTGCTCTTTTTACGTTTATATTATTGTTTTGATTGAAAATGGCTCAGCAAGCTGCAGGTATGTATTCTACAAAAACGTATTATTTATTTTGATATTCTCTATACTAACGATTTTTTTGCAACTAAAAGTTAGGCATTCAGAAAATTTGATTAAATTTGTGACATTTTTATTATACTTAGAGATTTAGTTGCGCATTTCGAAGAATTCAGCATATTGTCTATATACGTTTTACTTAGTAAACATTGGGCTTTCATACAGTAAAATAAAATACTGCGACTTTTTGCGACTTTGCTGATAAAATGAGAAAAACATTCTTGGTTTCCTCTAATTTGCCAAACAGTGATATACTAATGTGAGGTGTAAACCGCGATGGCAGTGTTGTGTACAAAGCGATCGCATTAGTGCCATTAGCAGTATAGCACAATTTGGCATTAGTAGCTACTTTAGTGGTATGGGCATTGCTCGCGGATCAGTAGTAGCATTAGTAGTATTATATAATACTACTAATGCTACGACTCGTAATATCGCAACTATATAGTTGCGATATTACTACTGGCATTAGTGGGAACAGTGATTTTTCTTTCTTTTTTTAGAATCGACGAATTATCCTTTATTTTGTTCATATTATTTCCTCTTTAATTGAAAATAGCAATTAGTTATATAAGGTCTACATAAAAAAATTTCGATCAACTATCTGTGTCAAATACCCCACTGTGCGGCCGCGTGGAAATCACGATCGCAGCCGTGATCGCACCAGTGTGCGTACAGCTTTAAAAAGGGAAACACCGGAACACCTCATCGCTGATCAGAACACCAGTGCGCTGAGACAAGAGAGCACACACATACAATAGAGAGAGCTTGAAAATTCAAGATAAATGGATCATGGAAAAAGACGTCAGCCGGAATGAAGGAAGATAACAGGTAAAAGCATCAAAATCTAGCAAAAGGCAGATAAAAACACTCATAAAAACAGACATTTTTCGGCACACTTTTCATTTAGTACAAATCACAACTAAATAAATATAACTCTGTCGGCGTAGTAGGAACACGGATATTATTTCTCCGTGGTAGTCCGGTCTCGATTGGGAACTCATCCACCACAAATACCTAACGATATACACGTTTTACTAGCTTCTGGCTTTAATAACTCTTTGATATTACCCGATTTTATTGCCGCCGCGCGATACATATCGCCGAGAACCGTTTATGTGTTTATTAAAAGATGAATTGATAGCCGCGTAATAAGATACTTTATAGCACGTGAAAAAGTGTGACGTATACTGCTCTTCCGAAAATGGGCAGAGTGGCTGCGTGAAGATTTAAGCGTTAAATATGGCTGCTCAATCGATTCAGTTTATGTTGCAAGACGGAGATGATATCTGGTAGATATAACTGCACTTAGATACTACAGAAGCTTGAATGAATGTATAGTGCTTTTCGCATATACATATACATAGTTTTCTGGTGCAATAAAATTGTGTAACTGTAATAGTCTGGGAAAATGGCAAAGCGTTGAAACAAAATACTTTAGATTTGCTTTATTAAAATTCCAGTAGATAAGATTATGAATTCAAAAAATTGACGCCGGGAGGCACGTGTACAGGGTGAGTTTCCTACGATGTTCTCTATGGGTATCTCGGACACTACTGGAGATAGAGAGTCAGTTAAATAGGGAAAGAATTGCAGTTTTATGGGGTCATAAATAAGCGCCTTTCAGATTTTTGAAAGAGTTCATGGTTACTAGATATTTCGAAAAAAACAAATTTTGACTATTTTAAAAATTGTCCCTAATTCCATTATAATCTATTTTAGACAAAAAGTTTTCAGATAAAAGTTGTAGATATTCACATCCCTAATGAGATTATGTTCTCCGATTTTTTCTAAAGTCTGTTATTTTTGAAATATGACACAAACATATGTTTTTTTAAATGGAAACCATAGTTGACCATGAGTTCATAAACAGCGTCATTTTTTAAGCTTTTCAGCGATATAAGCTATAATATGTTTCTTTCACAAAATTACTGAGTTATAGCCAATTCTTATCTTTCTTGACTAATTTCACTTAGTTAGCCATGGAAACAAGTTCAATCGTCGTTGCTCTCAGAAATATGAAATTGTCATATTCAATCTTTGTGAATTAAAATAAACAAAAATTGTAAATAAGAGTTTTTCAAATGAAGAAAAGCGTGTAGGATTATTGGTTCAACTTTTCTTGGCCATACAGTTTCGAGGATACGTTGACCGGTGAACGTACTTACGTTTTGTAGAGAAAGGTTTTCAAGACATGTTAGAAAAGTTAAATTTATTAATACTCGCCCATTAATAGAGTGGTTCCAACATGACTTTCATTATGACACACCAACCCCAATCCCCCCACAAAACACACAATGAAAGAAATGTTAAAAATTATTTATATCATAATTATCTAGACTCTGGGATAGAAAGAGGTGGACCAAATTGCATGGGTCTCCTCGGTCACTTGACCTATCCATTTTAGATTTTTTTTATGCGGTATGGTTAACAACAAGGTTTACAGAAGAACTTATGAGGGGCACTCGAAGAGGCGGAACAGGAGAAGTTTAATTAAGTCGACCGGTGGTTCTGTGAGAATAGCTAGAAATTCAGTTTTAAAAGATGCATTTATGTACTCAAAACAATTGCGGATTTTTTGAAAATTTTCTAAAATAACTTTATAATATAGATTAATAATATATTTTGTCTTTTATAAGAATAAATCATAACAAAATTAGAACACCATTGAAAACCGTTCTCTAAAAAAACGTAAATTACTTTCACTGGTCAACGTATCCTCGAAACTGTATGGCCAAAAAAAGTTGAACCAATAATCCTACACGCTTTTCTTCATTTGAAAAACTCTTATTTACAATTTTTGTTTATTTTAATTCACAAAGATTGAGTATGACAATTTCAGGACACAGTCTCATTAAGGATGTGATTATCTACAACTTTTATCTGAAATTTTTTTATCTAAAAAAGCTTATAATGGAATTACGGACAATTTTTAAAAAGCCGAAATTTGTTTTTTTCGAAATATCTAGTAAGCCATGAACTTTTTAAAAAATCTGAAAGGCGCATATTTATGACCCCACAAAACTGCAATTCTTTCCCCATTTAACCGACTCTCTATCTCCAGTAGTTTCCGAGTTGCCCATAGAGAACATCGTAGGAAACTCACCCTGTATAGCCGCCCATATACTAAAATATGTTAATAAAAAGTTGGTAGGCAGTTCTTTTAGTTTCAAAGTAAAGGAATTTTTCCAATTTTGTCCGCGGTTATTTCCCCTATCCGCCACCTGGGGTCGCGTCCGATGGGAGATTGGAGTTCTCCACACGGATTTTCTCAAAAACGGACTACGGAAACACGGAATATCTCAAAAACTGCGACTTTGACTGATTTTGATGTTATTACAAATTTTGTTGCAAATATTATTCCTAATCTTAAATTGAAAACCGCGTTTCGCTAGCTACTGTAATTTTGGAGTTACCATTTTTTAAAACGTTTAACCCCCTCCCATACCCCCTAACCAACCCCCACCCCCACCAAAAAGTAATGGCCAGATTCTCGGGGCCACAGTATTTTTGTGCCAAATTTGGTTAAAATCGGTTTAGCGGTTTTTGAGTTATCGTGTTACAGACGGACACCATAAAAATATTTTGTATTCAGGTCATTTATGACCCAAATAACTCATTTTGAGTGAAATTAAAAAAAAAATTTGCCGATCTTAATAGCCTACCATTCAAGTGGCACAAAATAGAAAGAAATTAGCTAAAGTTAAGGGAGGTTTTTATTCAGCAGTGGACGGAATAAGCTAAATGATGGTGATGATGATGATTTTAGACAAAATATATTTCCAGATTACCGTACCGTCCGATCCGTACCTCAAAAGAAAAAAACGGAACCTTTATATAAATTTGTTGTCCGTCCGTCTGTCAGTCTGTTAAAACTAGAGATGAGCAAAACTGCGATTGCGATATTTAAATCCAAGCGACTGTAACCTGCGATTGCAATTTTAATATTTACCAAACCAAATTATTCGTAAAAAAAATGCCTTTTCTTAATATGCCAATGGGCCATTCTCGTTCCATTTGAAAAAATTGAGATACGACTAAAAATACGATTTGGGCATCTTTTAACTGGCCAGGACAAGAAGCGAAAAACAATAGA